CTCTCCGTTGAGGATTCCTCAACGGATGCCTGACTCTATTTGGGATGCGCCCGAGACTGAAGGTTCCTCGAGCTAAGGTGAGAAGTGCCATTTGGCAAATAAAAGTGCTCCAAGATGGCTGCACACCACGTAGGTGAAGAAATGCAGCAATGAAACGCAAGCGACTGTAATTTTGTGAGAGTACTTAATAAACACATAAAAACTGGCGACTCGCTGCTGTTGTCTGCTTCGCTGCAGTTTTCGCTTTTTACTTTTGAGTTTCGAGGGTATTACTGTTTGTGCATTCCACTAGTCATTTTTTTTGTAATTGTAGCCTTTTAGTCGGTTAAATATGCAGCGGGTACAGCAGCTGAAATCATTGATTCCCAAGTCGACTATCGTCTACTATAAACAACCGCTACTTATAACTAAGGTTAGAAAAGATCATGGCTTTAATGACTATTGATGTAAACGTAACCCATGGCTTGAAAATTGTAGGGTGAAATGCAATATTTATAACCCATGGCTTGAAAATTGTAGGGTGAAATGCAATATTTATACGATGCGAATGGCAAAAAATATCTCGACATGTTTGCTGGTATCGTTACCGTATCCGTCGGGCACTGCCATCCGTGAGTTTTGTTTTTTTTTCTGGGTACAATTTCTTCTTCACATAAGATTCGTGAGCGTTTATTGCATTGCGGGCAGTTGTTAGACCAGAATTCAAAGATACATTCCGTGCCCGAGTCACTTACATGGTGAGTGGGTTCTCTGCTGCAGTGAGTCACTATTGAGTCACTATTACATTAGGAACCAACGAAAAGGAAATGCACAACATGTAATAAATCAAGACTTGATAGAATAATGTTCGTTTCGCCTCTGAACATCATACGAACCATTGCCTTTCATCGTTCCCTGAGGTTCATCAGTGATGTATGGAAGGAAGAAACAAAAAGTGGATAGAATAGTTCCTTCAATACTTCGATATTTGCGGAGTGCATGGTAAGAACACCACGCTTGTGACCTGTTGTAAGTGTGACTTATTAGTTTACTAGTTCATTCTTTGAACCGATAAAAGGACAAATGACAATATAAACGACAAGATAAGTGAACAAAAGCAAGGATCCAGTACTTAATATTAGATTGTCCCGAAATTGTTGTCCAATTTTCGCCACTTTTCTACTTTTTTGTGACTACCACCTGATCAACAGCATATTAATCAATCACCGGTGCGATCACAGATATGAGGTCATTAGCTGAGCAGTTACTGGGTCGCTCTGCTGCAGAACGAGGGAAGTTGGAAATGCAAAGAGGCCATTTCAGGGGTGGTTGCACTCATTTAGTGTTTCCTACGATCAGAAACTGGTCAGAGTGGGGAGCATATGGTAAGTCCTGCGGAGAAATATCATGGGTGGTTGTGTCATCGCGTTCCCTTTCGGTCCTTCTTGACTGTGGCGAGTGGTTTCTACAATGCGAAGTCATGCGCAATCCTGGAAACGGGCGACACGGGTTCGTTCGGGGGCTTATACGGCCATGCCGATACCTACATGGGACACCTCTGGAATCTGCCTGGCGTTGCTGCAGGCAGATTCCAGAGGTGTCCCATATGTAGGTATCGGCATGGCATTGAGTGCCTGCCTTGTATTCAAGCGTTTTACAGAATACCATGCATTATCAGTCCCAGAAAACAGGAGCAGATCTTTAGAGTAGAGACCTCAAGGTTTGGTTAGGCTGATGAATCTTGCCGTAAAGCAGCCCCTTGGAGTGTTGCACGCTTGTCTAACAGTGAACACATCGCCTTAGGAAATTCTTGTCGATGCGGTCGGAGAAGTGCTTTACCGCTTGTCAAGGGTTCCGACTGACGGTGGCCCATCGAGAAACCACTTTGTGGTGGCCTGGTCCATTCACATGAAGAACGACAACGAAGATACTATGGTCGTTTCCGAGTGTCTGCTCGGAAATCCCGTCATCCGGATGCACCCATGAAGTGAGGGATCTTTATCAAAGATGACTGAGCACTCACAAGGAGTTTCACTTCCACAGCTCGTACCGCTTTTGGCGGATAGCTGAACTTCTTCAATGTCCGCTGCTTCACAGTTTTCTATATATCGGTGCGTTGGTTTAACGCTACCCGTCTCAGACGTTTTTCTTGACAATTGCCGTCCTATGATATTTTTTGAACCATGACTGCGGTGGGGTTTGATACAGCCGGATTCTTAGCCCGTTGACATGCTGTGTCGTGTGAATTCTATGTGTGATTGTAATACCATCCTTTAGTGTATATGTGTGCGAAATAGCAAAAAGGGCAGGGCAAGTGGTCGGGTAGCAGAATTCATGGAGCGAAATTTGTGAAAAGCATCACCACACTGAACAGAGGGCATAACTTTCAGGACGGAGCTTCCATTAAAGGCTACCGCAATGTTTTTAAACAACAACTGATTGGTGTAAGGAGTGTATTCGGTTTAGTTTGAAAAGTGTCCGATTGAAAGGTGAAATGAAAATGGTACATCTCCCAACGACAAACTTTAGAGTTCTGCTCTAATTGCTGAGGATTCGATACACGAAAATCATTTTGAATTCTGAAAGAAACAGTGTTTTTTGTCTTCTGGAATTCCTGTGAAGAACAACTGCAAACTTGAGCTCTTTTTCCAAATGCAGGGTCCTGGCCGACACTGAAGGCACCCCATAAAAATCCAGCTTTTCATCTACTCGCAAATCCATTCCAAATCAGATCCCATTTCTTCGTGGCATTAGAAGGCATAAGGATGTGGACGGTGCATTTCGAAGAATTCTATCAAAATTAACAGAACTTCTTTTGGTAATACTCGTTAGCACTGGACCTTTTGTCAATAATCTTACCAGGAAAGGCCAATAGATCAGCCCGCCCATTTCCAATGAGGTGCACACCTATTGGACGCGTCTTGAGACAGTGAACTCAAATCTACCTTCAAAATTTGCGGAACGATTCTCTGAACGGAGTTATGGAGGTTTTTACTCCCGCAGTTGTTTTACAGCTATCTCGAGGTGTGGAGAGTCGTTGTGAAACGTGGCAGTAGGGCGTAACACGTAGCGAGCGGGTTTTTCAGGCGGGAGGTCGTGGGGTCGGTTCCCGTGAGCTTGCTCGCCTTTGCATTTTTCAAAATCATGGCCGACAAAGCTCCTAACATCTCTGCTCGCCTGCACTACCCTATAAGGAAACCCGCAATCAAATTTTTTTGAAAGTGTAGACCCATTGTGGACCTGAAAGAGTGCTTGTGCTTGTCTCTCTCGTAACACACGTCAAAAGGGTTTTTGCAAGGAAATGTGTGCAGCGGGTCTAATCAGCTGTGGAGA